CTATGCGATGCATGGAAATCTGACTAACCCCCGAGAGTAACGCATGCGCAAATGGGTTAGTCCATGCTGTGCATGGGAAACTGACTAACCCCTAAAGCATAACATCAGATTCACTACACAATACCAAACTATTGCAGAAAAAATGATTAAAAAAAAAATGAAAATTTGAAATTAAAAGAGAACAGAAACATGAAAAAAAATATTTAAAAACAACAACTTTGCAATATTTCATTAAATTTATTTGGTACCCATATATACACTTACCCACTTAGTCAACATATTTCAGTTAGATATATTTGGTACCCATATACACACTTACCCACTTAGTCAACATCTACTACAGTGGAAACTGATATTTCGAGAAAAACTAAGGTAACATATAGGCACTACACCTGAAATTATGATTTACTTGAATTCCGAGATAAATAATTATTCCGAGATTAAATAATATCCTGTTATTTATAAAAATCGTTATATGGACAATGGGCTTTATTTTGGGGAATTAATGTATTTAAAATTGATTTTAGTGTAAAGGCTATTATGAATGTAATGAAAATCATATAAAACTTGTGCAATGTGCAACCCATACATGCATGCCTGTCTAGAACATTCATGAACGATATTTCAAATAAACATTGTTGCTAACAAGGGAATCAGCTAGATAGATCTATATTGTCATGAACTGAAATTGTCCATTTTGTTAAACTGTTTAGGCTGTCTTTACAGTCTAGCACATCAGAGTTGCATTAAAAGTATGATTCAGTGTTTTCCTTAAGAACTGGTTACCAGGCAAATTGACCGCTTCAATTGACAAGAATGCCGTTTCGAAACAAAATTTGTTGTTAGGTCCACAGAGATTTTGTTCATAAACATCAGTTCCTAGCCTGTTACAACCGATCTCTAACCCCTTACTTTGAAATAAAGGGAAAACACTGTATGGTGCCTAAACTCGTAAAACACTACCTATAAATTTAAAGAAAGATCAAAAGGATATATTATGATAGCAGAAATAAAACTGTTTACACAAGTTAGGCGAAACCCTACACCAGGAATTAACATCAGACTTCTACATGTATGATGTGTTCCAGATTTCTACATGAGCACGACGGTCCTGCTGGAAGCGGGTATATATTTATCTGGCTAGAATTTGATAAAACCATCCAAAATATTTAAGAGAAAAATTTTAAATTGTATTTAGAATGTACCTTATTTTTATCTGAAATCTTTTTAATTTTTTTTTTTTTTTTTTTTTTTTTTTTTTTTACTGTAAAATAAGCTGAGCATGCACAGCTGATTGCTAGTTGAAGTTGTCTGCCCTGCCAAAAAAGTACTAACCCGCAAAAAATAATTTGTCTTTGAAAATTTTAGAGCAAAAATGTGAATAGGGCTGATTCGCTACATATTCGATTCCTGACCTATAGGCTGCATGATGAATTCTACCCATTTGCTTGTTACAATTTGGAACCAGTAATAGTTGATTGCAGAGTTTTAAATATCAATCAGAATTTTAATTTATGGGAAATTTTTACTTTACTCAGCCAGATGGGCTTCAATGTGCATCTTGGGCGGTCAGGTGCAAGGTTATGTCAAACGCTGTTGAGAACCATGTCAAGTGTCAATCATGGTAATTTAAGTAATAATAATGTTACCTAATTGTATTTCATAAAATTAACAATAGGTAAATAACAAGTGAATATAAATTTCCCATGTCAGACTGCTTTACAAGAGGTCATGATTATATTAAAGCAAATTTAACAATAAATAACTTGCTTTCAGTGCATTAATTATATTTTATTTCCTGAATTTACCATTAAAAATGGAACCCCTGAATTGTTGTTCATCGACGAGCAAATCATGGAGGATAAAAGCAATTTAAAATTAAGTGCATAGTCTAAATATCCTACTTGTCAAATTGTCATCAAGCCTAACAACATTCAAAGATGCCATAAACTAAATTTATAAAGTTTCAATTCTGATATTGTCTTGACGGACAGAAATATCTTTGTTGTTCTTGATCCCACTTACCTTTTATGAAATCGATTCACAGGTAATAAAATATTTAGTCAATTAGTGGGCTAAAACTGAAGTGAAAGTCAAGTGTTTTTCTTAACTGGAAGTTGAATGTTTAAACTAATCAACAAAACCAAATCCGGAAAACATCACTTGTCAGATCGCTCAGCAAACACTAGGATAATTTCGGGGTATAGAAAAAATCGTGTTAAAATATTAGATATTAAATCAATCTAGTAAGTGCAATCGACCCTAGTTTTAATATATCGATCATAGCTATCCGTATCGGCATGTAATTTCGAGAGTTACCCCCCTGTCCCGATCTTAATATTGAATCTATGCCCACGATGGTGCGGAGGCTTGGCGGCGACCCCCCCCCCCGGCCATTTAACTATGTATTTTAAATACATTTTTATCTAATTAGATCCTCTATTTATAACTAAGACCACATCTTACAAGCTTTACATAATGTCCACGCTACCCCTCCCCCCAGGAAATCCATTAACATCGGGGACAATAGGCTAAATATACCTAATCCTAGCATAAAAGCTGAAAATAAAGCTTTTAAAAATGCCTTCTCCAAATCAGTTAATATTTTCAATGACTGTTTCAAATTTATAATACACAATAACAAGCTGGAAAATTTTTACCAACCCAAGATGATGCTGGAATATTGAAAAAGGAAGTTGCAACCAAAGCGCCCTCAGGTGTTTTTATTAAAAGGGGGAATAATCAACTAAATATTTGACAAGAACAATAATCACTAGAAATAAGTAATGAGATTTAGGTAAAGCAATTATGCACTTTCTTCGATAAAAGCAGCTAATTCAGAGTGAATTAGCTTTGAATATTATAATATGAATGCCCTAACTTTTCTCTTTCAAAATGATGAATTTATAACAATTTAATTTTTCTGCAAGTAGGTCAAACTTCTAGGTCACATGTAAAAAAAAAAACATGCCATTCTCACAGGTAAATACTAGTACAGTGAGGTTGCCATTAACGAATCGCCCCCATTACCGAATCACTTTCAGATAAAAATTCTGTATTTTTCTTATCAAGTTCCAATACTTAGCTTAACCTATCCTGTCATGCTGTATTACTCTCGCCTTTGTTACTTATCATGAAATTATTAAAATTAAACCTGTACAATGTCGTAATTTTTTAACAAACATAAACAAGCTTTTTCGTGACGCAGACTAGAAGCGTGTATCCAGCAGACAACTTTCACTTTTCGGTTGAGCGCCAAGTTGAATGGATCGTTGTCGGTAAGCAAATTTGGTACAGATGTTTAATAAAATTATGTGTCTAAAAGCACCGAAAGTATCAAACAATTTCTTAATCAGCGAATAATTGTATTAGCTATAAAGTTGTAGGTAGTGAAGTTTCCAATTACGAATCACTGCTACAAGATAAGGAGATGCAGGGATCATGTCAAAATTTTAATTTTTCGCATGCTTTTTTTTAAACACCTGTTGCAATAAAATAAACAACAGAAGTTTAAAATGCACTACATTCCCCGTTCGTAGAAAATTTCTGCATTTGGTAACAATTTAAACAATTTTGGTTTCCCAGTAATGCTGCAATCCATTAAAATATAACACTATATTACTGACCTGCTAACATAATATTGTTAGCTCAAAATAATTTGTTTCTTTTACTGACATTAAATAACTATATGAACTTTCAGATATGCCCCCCAAAAAAGTTTACAATAAAGGTGGTGGACATACACCAAATCAAAAATCAGCAGCAAAAATCACCAAAAAGTACAAAACATGTGGAAAGAGAATGTCTCCACAGAGAAGGGAGAAAGTCAGAAGGGCACTGTATGATGTAAGTAAAAACAATCAATCAATAAGGAAAGCAGCAGGGGAGAATGGGTTGTCCTATTCATTTTTATATAGACGATGGACGGGCGAAGTCAACGAATATAAAATGAAAGGACAACCACCAGTATTCACCGAATCAGAAGAGACAGCCATGGCAAAGTGGCTTTGTGAAATGTCTCAAAGGGGTATGGGTTTGAGGATGTGCGAGTTTTTAGACTTTGTGCAGACAGTTGTTAATAAGGAAAAACGTCAGGTGCCATTCAAAAATGGAAGACCAGGCAAAAAGTGGTATTATGCATTTATGAATAGAAATTCCCACATTATCAATCAAAGAGTAGAGACTGCACTGGAGCTAAAGAGATCTCGGGTCACCAAAGAAAAAGTGGATGCATGGTATGACAGATTTCGAGATTTTTTGCTGAGCATTGATCTGATTGACAAGCCAAACAAAATATGGAATGCAGATGAAACAGGTTTCAATATGGGCAGCAACAAAAGTAAAGTCATAGGGCCAACTAGACGAGACCTGGGTGTGCCTCACATTTCCTTTGGGAAACAACGTCTCACTGTGATGTTCTGTGGCAGTGCCTCTGGGCAAATGATGCCTCCATTTCTTGTTTACCCAGAACCTAAGCCAAGGGGTTATAATCCTCTCAATGGGTCTTTAGATGGAACTGATATTGCATATACAAAGAAAGGGTGGATGGATAGAGCAACCTTTTCCAAGTTTGTGGACCATTTTGATCGACATGCTGGGGTAGAGCGTCCAGTTTTGCTTCTTTTTGACAGCGTAAGTAGTCATGTCGATCATGACGTTTTCATGAAAGCGAAATCAAAAGGCATTGAGTTATACAGGATTCTGCCAAACGCAACTCACCTAATGCAACCGCTTGATAAAGGTGTTTTTGGACCTCTCAAATCAAAGTGGCACCTTACATCAAGAAAGTACTGTAGAGAAAATCCAGGAAAAACTATTGGGAAAGATAATTTTGCAATAAAGTTGTCAGAGACCTTCTTACAGTTTTACAAACCATTAACTGTAATCAATGCTTTCAAATCTGCAGGAATATATCCTGTCGACAGTACAGTCATTACGCGTGAGATGCTGAAGCCGTCACTAACTTACACAGATGATGAAGCAGCAAATGTATGTATAGATATTGAGGAGACAAGGACTGATAGTCAAGAAGAATCTGGGGAACAGGAGAAAGCCAAAGGAGCTCTTGAGGTTTTTCAGAACACCCTTTCCACTCCTGTCCGACAACGTTATGCGTATCAAATAGAAGAAGGCCTTGATCTTGAAAGACAGTCACCTTGTTTTGATGTGTATAAAAAGTTGCATGAAAAAGCATATCCACATGACAGAGATTTGAAAGAAAAGAGCAGACATACATGTAGCACATCAGGACTTGAATTGCTTGCTGATGCAGCTGTGTTACAGTTGGACACCAAACAGCCTGTACAGTCTTATCTTCAAGAAGACAGTGATGGAATCGGAGAACTTTCAGATACTGGTGATGTGCCGATGTCTCCTGTGTTAACAGAAAGTTTGGTCTACCCTAAGGCTACTAACTGTTCAACGAGAACACGGCTGTCTGTTTTAGACACATGTCCTGATCACCTGACCTCTCCAGAAAGTATCAGACAATTCTCCTTAAAGCAACTGGAGACAGTTAAGTCTTTTGCCAAGAAAGAAAAAAAAAGCTAAACTTCAGTACATAAAAAATTAGCAAGACAACAAAAGAAAACTACCCAAAAGAAAAAAAATAAGAAAAGTAAAGTATGTCACAAGAGGAGATCAAAAAGTTTGAGAAAATTGACATGTGACAGTGACAGTGATGAAACTGTAGGCTTAGAACAGGATGACATTGTTACCAAACCATTTTGCCAAGCATGTCAAGGTACAGAACAAGAGGATGAAGAGTTAGGACTGGAGAGGCTTTGGGTCCAGTGTGATTCCTGTGACAGTTGGGTGCACACAGACTGCTTATCTTATGAAATTGATGTGAATGAAAGCTTTGTGTGTCCAAAATGCTCCAAAATTTAAGTGGGCGTTTATTTACTTGATGTTGCATGTATTTATAATTTTATTCATAATTCAAAACCAGGAGATCCCTGTCCATTAACACACTGCTTTCAACAAATAAAAAGTGTAACAGGTAGAAATCTGATGGATTCTGACAATGAATTGTACTAGTATAAATATAGTCCATGTGAGGTTATAATTTATACACTTGAAATTCTGATCAGTGATGTAACTCTGTGTATTACATGTACAGTACTGTACTACTTTTTCTAGATTTTAAGATATTCACAGATATTTTTCATTCCCATTTCAGCCTACTGTGGATGTTGGAATGGTGAAGTCCAAGAGTTCAGCTTCAAGAAAAGTTATAATTGACAAATGTGTTGTGAAAGGCTATCATGCCTTTAAAATCCGCTCCCCTTTACATCTCCTCCAACTCGTTTACTTGTTGACAGGGAATATTCAAACATCAAAGATGACAATGCTTGTCTCGGTGTGGCTGCCGCCATTGAATAAATTTTCCCAACATATAATTCATAATGATATTACAGATGAAAAAGGCCAACTGAAAGTAACATTTAGTGACAAAGCTGGGCTACCTATCAGACGTACCCAGGTGTCTTTCTGCACATTTTTTTACCATTTTGGATGATGGTGGTAAAAAAAACATGTATATGCTAAAGTGACTGGACAATCAGTGCCAAGTTTTCATCCATGGCCAGAACCTAATAAGGAAGGGGATGTTGTTGTTCTTCCCTGCAGGTATATACTTGCAAATGTAGATGGTGAAATTTGTTTAATGAATTGAAAGATTTTTTTTTTTAAAAATTAGAAGAGGATGGTGCAACGGAACAGTACAAATCATGACTAAATAAGAAACAGAATTTATTATCCCAAGTTTAGTATCACTGAGCCCTCAAATATTTTTTTGTTATGCATGTCCTTTTTCCTGTATCCTTTCATCTGTGTTTATAATTACAGGAAAGTTTGTTCCTCATTTAATAATAATGATGACTTAGATTAACTTGAAACTAATTGATTTTTTTGTTTTGTAGATCCAAGATAGTCGTTTTTTTTTATCAACTAGTCATTTTTTAAAATGAATTCATTGTTTGCTTTTTTATTATTATTTGTCGGGTGCAATAAAATGAACACTACTCAAAAAAATTATATTAGCCTTTCTATTTTTCTTGTTTATATTTTATCATGTTTACAGACCTTGTAAAACGTAAAAAGTGTATTTTGACACCGCCCCTCACAAAGAGAATCAGCTGTATGTCACGTGATTCGGTAATGGAGAAAATGATCCGCTAAAGGAGAAAACATCGTTCATCACAGTTCAGATATATCTTTTTATTTAATCATCGGTTATTGGGGAAATATATATGATGTTATACGTCAAACATAGTACCACCAAACAATGTTGTAGTATGAATTTAATTCGAACTCAGGTACGAACTATCCAAGCAAATTTACTAAGTGATTCGATATCGGCAACCTCACTGTACATAAGTTTAATATGAATGCCTCGTCTCTTCTCATTCAGTAGATATGACCGTGATGACCAAGGTTAAATTTATTGAGACAGAAGGACAGTCTGACATACAAATGTACATATTTCTATATGAATTGGGTAAAATTGGCCCAGTGGTTCTAGAGAAGTTAAGAATGTAAAAAGTTTTTAGACAAACAGATGAACGACACGTCACAACAGACGTTATATGATAAGGAAACCAGAAAAGCTCAAATGAGTGTTTTGAAAGGGTTACAATATGGTTACAGTATTTGAAAAGCTGTTTTTTTTTTTTCATGCAGAGATATGCATGACCAACATATTCCTGTTTTATATTTTCTTTCGTAATTTGTTTGTTTGTTGTGAATACATCTCTCTTTTCTCTCATATGGAGACACCACCATATAATAATGAAGACAAGATGTGTTTTTGAAACACTGATGTCCCTGTATGGAAGTCTAGGGTATGGCGAAGGTTGAAGTTTCTCAAATATATGTCAAACTCAAAGGTCAAGGTCAAAGGGTTAAAATTGTTTTTATAAGTCTTGTCACAAGGAATGCACATGTGAAATGAGTAATCCCTAGTACTTCCTGTTCAAAAGTTAATTGCCAAGGTTAATTTTTTTAAGTGGTTCAAACTCTAGGGTCAAGGCTTGACCCAGAGAGTTCAAGGTAAACATATTTATACCTGTTGACAGTTCACAATGAATACACATGTTAAGCATGAAAGCCCTAGCACCTACTGATCAAAATTTAGGCCAAGTTTAAAGTTTGGTATTTTTCTTGTAAAAATGTGTATCCTAGGTCAAGCGATCAGAGGTAAAAATTAATGGTACCCAAATAAAAGGTCTTGATTGTCACAAGAAATAAACCTATAAAATGTGGAAGCCATTTGTATAGCCCATCCCACTTAAAACTTATGGGCAAGGTTAGAATTTCTGAAGACAAATAGACAGACATAATATAAACACAAGAAACAAAATATGTATAATTAGTCAAATGGAAAAAAAATATACTATTTACTGTAATTGGAATCACAAAATAGATTGTTATTTCAGGGACAGGGAGTGGGTTGGGATATTGGACCCCCCCCCCTGGAATTTGCTTTGTTATTTAAACAAGACTATATACTGAAGCAAATAAAAAATGACTTTGAACATCCTCCCCCTAACTTAGAAAACATTGACCCCAATATCATTGTTTTTATTTTGTTTATTTGTTTTCAGGTTTTTTTTCTCCTGCTTTTCAGGAAATTCTGGGCTGGAATTTTTTGACTGAGATGTGAACCCCCTCCCTACTCCGAAAAAAAATTCTGGATCCGCACCAGTATTGGCAGTAACTGAATGTCACATCAACAACGGGAGATAACTTCACAATATCAAATTCGTCTAGTTTGGCAAGCGATGATCTTTGACCCTTTTTAAACTTTAACCTAATCGTTTGGGTTTATTTTATCCCCCAGTATACTTAAAGTCCCAGATGATAAGCACCACCCTCAGATTTACCTGGTCTGTATCCCCCTGTCAATCAAATAAATTAAGGGCCATCATTGGGTACTTGAAATTGATTGACATTTAGCTACTAGTCCCTGTGTATCTCTCTTCACCTTGTTTGACACGCGTGGCCACCATCAAATTAACTTTCGGTCGTCTGATGTTTACCGCTAAATCACTATCGTAATGAGGAAGCCATTTCGATACAAACAATTTTAACTTGATTATAATTGAGTATGATTATTTTTATTACAAACATTTCATTATAAAATGAAATTGGTCTCATAATAGTGTTTCAATACAGCAAATCAAGATTGTGTATATTTTTTCTAATGAAAAGTGTATAGGCGACTGTTTTCAGTCGTAAAAAAGATTCTTGTTTTGAGACGCGGCGAAAACATTACGGAGCATAAAGGAGAAATTAAGCTGGTAACATTTTTTGCATGTATTGGATAGTAATGTTGAAAACAAAATGTCTGATTAGTAACAACTTCGCCTGGACAAGTATTAAATATATTAAGAATTTCTTTCTTTTTTCTTCCTTTTTTATAACCGAGCATTTCTTGCTACGTGGGTAGTTACCTCCGTTCAAGGTCACAGGTGTTAAAAATAGTTTCGAAAGAAATACGCAAGTTAGCAATAAATTAATATGTTGTTTTCAGTTGTTTAATTATTATCTGAATTTTCTAAAAATACATACATATTTGTATGTAATTCTAACTTTACGAAACCATCATTATCGCGAATTTTTCACAATAAGATACAGAATGTACATCTGCTAAAAATAGGACCACGCGACTTTTTATACAAACGGGAAGTAACTGTTACTATTTGACGTGATCAAAGCTCTAATTGCTAAATATGAAAAGTTTTTAAGATTTTGAATGGGACAGGCAAGGAGGAGTAT